TCTCTCTTCTCTTCAATCTCTGTGAGCTTTGTCACCATAAAAATTCTAAATTCCTTATCTGACATTTCCATGAATTTCATCATACTGTCAGAGGATGAAGAGGAGTTATTATTTTTCCTTGGAGGAGAGGTATTTTCTTGTTTTTCCTTATTTCTTGTGGGCCTGTGGTGATTTCTAGTCATCTGGATGGATGGTGCATTTCCTCTAATTCTCGAAGTTCAGTCTGAGTGTTTGGAGGCATGCAGGAGAAGGTGATCTGCAATCTCTCTTCCATTCTGTTCTCACTTTTTGTGCATCAGAATCAGTAGGAATAGAGGAATATTTTGACCCTAATTGTATTTAGATGTTTAGATCCTGTTCACTTGGAACTGTCTAGACATTTACTGTGTAGGAGCTGAGAAGCCAGTGAGTAAAGATTAAAAATAAAGAATTAGAGAAAAGGGAAAAAAAAGAAAATATAAAAGAAAAGGAAAAAAGGATAATAAAATCTATAGATTTTAATTTGAAAAAGCGAAAATTGAAAACCGTGCAGCACACTGCATGAAAGCAATATTTCACAGCTAAAGTTCAGGATCCTTGTGGAGATGGGTCTCTGTTTGTGCCTTTCTACAAATAAGTGAGGAAGAAGTCTCAGCAGAAAATCTTCATTTTAAGTCTTTGAAAGCAATATTTCACAACTAAAGTTCAGGATCTATGTCCCATGATGCATTTTAAATGACTAACATTTTTTTTTAATTAAAAAAATTTCATTCTAATAGATTCTGGTAAAGATACAGAGCATACAGAGCAGCTGGAACTCACATACATTGCTAGCAGGAGTGAGAAAAGCTACAACTACTCTGACAAAACAGTTTAGCAGGCTCTTACAAAGCTGAGTACTTACCTTAAAACCCATCATTTCTACTTCTAAGGATTTGCCAAAATGACATTTTTAAAAAACTTACACATGTGGATATTTCTAGTGGGTTATTCATCATTTCCAAAAATTGGGGGCGGGTGGGGGGGGGGTTGGGGAAGTTCTTCCCTTAAGAAAATGGATAAGCAAGCTGGTAGGTCCATGCAAAGAACGCTAATCAACAATAAAAGTGCTCAACTAGCTAAGTGAAAGAAACCAGTTCCAAAGGCTGTGTGCTCTTTGGATCCATTTACATGACACTCTAAAAAAGGCAAAACTATTGAGACAGAAAACAAAGCCGTGGTTACTAGGGGTTGAGAGTTTGGGATGAAGTAAGGAATTAACTACAGAAAGCAGCATGAGGGAATTTATAGGATAATTGATGTATTTCACATAATACTTCCGTGGCAAATTCATGGCTAGATGAATTTGCCAAATCATGCAACTGTACTCTAAAAACAGTGAATTTTACTGCATGCAGTTTTAAAAACCAACCTCAAAATCAAGAGAACCAAGATGGAATTGAACCTAATTGTACTTTAAATTTTATGACCACACTGAAGTAGGTGGTAAAGAAAACAGGTGACCAAAGTAACCTTGTAAACAGTTGTCTTGATTAGATAATAAATATAAGACTAAAGACAAAACAAACTGGAAGCCAGCAGGTAGAGCGGTTATTAAGGCCCTGGATTCCCATATGACCTACTGCAGTTCAAGTCCCAGGCCCAGTGACTTAAAAATCATGTCTGGTGTGTGTGCATGCATGCTCAAAACCTTGTGAGGAGAATCTAGAAGGAATTATGGCATGGCTATCCCTCCTGGGGGGTGAGCTCTACTTTCACTTTCTCTGTCTCTCCAGTGAATGTAGGCACCCTATGGCAAAAATCTAAAAAAAAAGAAAAAAAAAAAAGGGTGAAAAAAATAAAAAAAAAACTGAATGCAAACACTGGATTGATTTCAACTTGGGTTTTTTTAAGCTCTCAGTCTCAGAGATGTATGAGTTAGCAATTCTGAAACTACTCTGTCTATACTAAAACTGAAAATAACTAAATGTACCATAGGTAACTAGGTTTCTCATTTTGGAAGGGAAAAAAAGGTCATAAATTACCAAAGGAGGAAATGCTAGAATAAACCTTGTGGTGCTGGCTTGGATCTCAGGTATTAATCAACTCAGTATATTTTAATAGATAGGTGATAGATAAATAGAAATGTGTATACAAACTTGGGTTCATATATTTCTGACAGAGCGTAGAGGCAGTGGTAACCCAGTAGCGACAAAGACAACTAGCACCTAGATCCGGCAGTTCAAATGTTGCTTCCAATAAAAGAATCAAAATTCCTTGGGAAAATCAGTTCTTCTAGAGTTTAGGCAAGAAAATACATATCATGAGGTAAGAATATCCTTTAATACCAAAAAAACAAGGAAGCGCTTAAGAAATAAATAGAATTAAAAAGACCTAAGAACCAACCTGAAAGAGTTCCCAATTTCCAAAGCTTGAATAATTTGCACAAAAATAAATTAGTAATAATAGTATCAGAGTATAATAGAAAGAGTAAAATGTAAAATCCACAAGCACACACCAATACAAAGACGCGTATTGTTACATATATAAATGGTATAAGACAAACAATTCTCCCTTAAAGAAGATCCTTAATTAAGAGAAGTAAAATAAATTAAGGAAATGTGAACTTTGAAAGTTACAATAGTGAAATAATTGCTCAGGCAACATATATGTATCAATGCTAAAAGTAGTGGACAGAGATTTAGGGAAACACGGTCTCACCAGCACTGTGAAGTTCAGACCCGGCCAAGGTCTTGCTAGTTCTGCTACTCTGTCTCGTGTGCCCTTTCTCTGTCCTCTACAAAACCTGCTGTGTTCTCAGTCAACCTCACTGTTCACATTCTCACCCTTAATTTAGACACAGAACCTGCAAAATTCAAACTTTGAAGGAGACAAAACCACCATTTCTCTCATGCCTCATTAAAAGCTTTTCTGATCTGAAGGTGATTGGTAAGGCCATTCATCAACCCAGCAAGTGTAAGTGTACTAGCTCCTGGGTGTGGGGCACAGGGCTAGGGCCTGGGAGAGGATTATGATGTTGAGAGTAAAACAAATAAGAAGGATGAATCTCTTAAAGGATCATGTCACATTGCTCCTCACACTTTTACCTCAAAAGCTAAGAAAAAGGCTTTCTAAAACCAAATCAGGACCTGAGATATACCAGGCCCCTGAGTACAAGTAGGTAGAAACAACCAGAAAGTAACACTTGTTTACTATACAGTAGTCAAGGGAAATGGGTGGAAGTCAGGAATATAAATTTTAAAATGAAATGGTAAAATTCGTAACAACTTGTCTAAAACAGTTGATCAGATCAAAAAACTGTTATAAGTTTCTGCCTTGTTTAAAAGAAGTTGTAGGTAAAGGAAAAACCAAATGTTATGAAGATTTTGGGAGACATCTCACCCACCTAACTTCTTGATATTCAAGTCACTTTATCATTTTTTTAGCATTAAATATATCCATAAAAGTTCATTTACTTCCAGAGCCGGCAGGTGGCATGGTGGTTAAGGGCACTGAACTCCCACATGGCCAACTGCAGTTCAAGTCTCATACTTGGTGGCTTGCTTTCTCACTTTCTCTTTCTCTCTCTCTCTCTCTCTGTCTGTCTCTCTCTCTCTCCCCATCTCTGGTCAAATTAAAATAAATAAAGTTAAATAAAATAGTTATTTTTTTTTAATTTCATTTATTCTGAAATGAGAAGTCCTGCATTTTAAGTCAGAAACAACTTCTCCAAGATAAAAATGATTCTTTATCACTTTTGATTTTATTTTTCCAAAATTGGATAGATTCAGGTATCGTTTTTACCCTAAATTTGGTTAACCTACCTTATAAAGGAGCTGGGAATCTTTTCCTTTAGTTCTTGCTTTCCTTATGTTTTATGTAAAATGAAGCATGTGTGTATAAAAATCAATATATATTATTAGAGAACTGTATTAATACTCTAGGAATTTATTTTCCAAAGGAGGTCTTAGCTCTTGAAAATTTGTTTTCTTGGTTTATTATTATTCTTCACTTAAAAGGTGAAGACATCATAAAAAGAGACAGGGGAAAAAATGTCACAGTTAAGTTAACCCTGCTTTTAGTCTTTGGCACACATGAAAGAATTTGTCACCCTAGGCAGTTTAACACTAAGGTAAGAACATGAACTCTAGGGTCTGGTGACTTGGGTTTGGACAACTTTATCACTCTCTAGTCATATGACTTCGGTTAAGTTATTTAACCTCTATATGCCTCAATATCCTTATTTGAAAAATGTGAAAATGAAAGTACATGCCTGGGTCAGTCCCATAGCACAGTAGTTTAGAGAACAGTATACCATGTGACTGACCGCAGTTTGAATCCTGGCCCTGGGAATTTTAAAAACATACTGAGTGTGTGTGTGTCTGGGTGTGGATGCCCCAAATCCTCAAGAATGGAGAAATAGAGGAGATGAAATTGTGGTATGATCATGCTCCAGTAAGTAATATTTTTCTCTCTGTCTTTCTCATAGTGCTCACACCCTCTGGCAATCAAAAAGAAAAAAAAAAGTGCATGTCTCAGAGGGTGGTTGTGAGGTTTAAATATAGCAATATACATAAATCAAACACTGACTAGCACAGAATAAGAAATACCCACACATACATATACAAGTTTTGCAGTTATTATTTTGAATTAGCTCTCTGAGGTGACTGGTAAAACTAAACTAAACGGTGACTGGATGGGCGCATGTTCAAATTACCTGAAGCTAACCAAAGAAGATAGCTCTCAATCCCATGTTAGTGATTTATAAAGGAGTGTATACCCAAGAACTTCCGTAGGCTCCCTGACTGAATACCAACGTGTCCAGAAGTAGGAAGAGGATTAAGAACCAAATCCTATCATCATTTGCATCTCCATATTTAGAGCTAAGAATTCTGAGGTAAACAAATAGAGTCAATTTGGAAATGATGCCTCAATTGCTTCCTCCTGTGACAGGAACAGTGGGAGTGATGTGATCAAGGACCTGCCCATCAAATGCGACAGAGATCTTTTCCCCAGACAACAAAGAGGAGCCACAGCTCAGGATGACTGAAAACAACAAACCCCCAGAAGATGAATTGTCACCATCTCTCATCACCTTAATTTTCACAATTATAAGCATTGAATGCATCATTGGTATCATTGCAAATGGGTTCATCATGGCTATCAATGCAGTTGTGTGGGTTCAGAAGAAATCAGTATCCACAAGTGGCAGAATCCTGTTTTTCCTGAGTGTATCCAGAATAGCTCTCCAAAGTTTTGTGATGCTAGAAATTACCTTCAGCTCAACATCCCCACATTTTTATAATGAAGATGTCGCATATGATGCATTGAAAGTAAGTTTCATGTTTCTACATTATTGTAGCCTCTGGTTTGCTGCCTGGCTCAGCTTCTTCTATTTTGTGAAGATTGCGAATTTCTCCTACCCTCTCTTCCTCAAACTGAAGTGGAGAATTTCTGGAATGATGCCCTCACTTCTGTGGCTATCTGTGCTTATTTCCTTCGGCAACAGCATGCTTTTCTGCAAGGATGTCTACACAGTGTCTAGTAACAATTCTTTTTCTACCCTCTTCTCCAACTCCACTAAGAAGAAATACTTTGCTGAAACCAATGTACTCAATCTGGCTTTTTTCTACAACCTGGGGATCCTCATTCCTCTGATCATGTTCATCCTGGCAGCCTCCCTGCTGATCCTCTCTCTCAAGAGGCACACCCTGCATATGAAGAGCAGTGCCACTAGCTCCAGGGACCCCAGCATGGAGGCTCACATGGGGGCCATCAAGGCTACCAGCTACTTTCTTGTTCTCTACATTTTCAATGCAGTTGCCCTATTTGTCTATATGTCCAACATCGTTGATGTCAGTAGTTCCTGGAATATTTTGTGCCAAGTCATCATGGCTGCCTACCCAGCTGCCCACTCAATTCTATTGATTCAGGACAACCCTGGGTTGAGAAGAGCCTGGAAGCGGCTTCGGCCTCCAGTTCACCTTTATCCAAGACAGTAGACTCTGTGACCAGCATCCAGAAAGGACCTCATGACCTGGCCAACCAGTCCTGCCTCTCACCCATCTAGACCTCTGTCTTCCCTCCTGTTTTCTTCTCCAAACCTAATCTTATCTTTTCCCCAGATGTGTTTTTTTTTTGTACAGAAAAATGACCTCCATTTCTCCATTTTCCTTCATGGCACAGTTGTAATGTTTGTCATATTCTTTACCTGAGCCCTCCATTTTTACCTTCCCTTGGTCTGGCCACAGCAACAACTTTAGATACTAGCTGTATATTAGAATCGCTACGGTCGATTTGTAAAAAATATGAATGTTTAGGCCAAGCTTAGGTCAGTTAAGTTGGAAATTCTGGTGTTGAAACTTAGATAATTTAAGCTCTTCAGGTGATTTTGATGTACAGCCAGGAACGATACAGCGACAAAATAGAAAGTTCTAAAATTTGAGTTCCTAGGGCCAGTGGGTGGTGTGGAGGTTGAGGTGTTAGATCCCATATGACTGACTGTGCAGTTCAAATCCCAGACCCAGCAGCTTGAAAATCACACTGTGTGGGACCAGCAGTTAGCATAACGGCTATGTCGCTGGACTCGCACATACTCGACTGCAGTTCGCGTCCCAGACCCGGTGGCTTAAACTCACGTCGGGCGCGTGTGCGTGCATGCCCAAGATCCCGAGAGGAGAATGGAGGAGAAGGGATTGCGGCATGACCATCCCCCCTGGAGGGTGATTTCTCGCTTTCTTTCTCTTTGTCTCTCTCTTGTCTGTCTGGCAAGCGCACGTGCCCTATAGCAAAAACCTCTCCAAAAAAAAAAAAAGAAAGAAAGAAAGAAAGAAAGAAAGAAAGAAAGAGAAAGAAAGAAAGAAGAAAGAAAGAAAATCACACTGTGCATATGTGCATGCCTGCCCAATATCTCAAGAGGAGAATGAAGAACAAGGGATTTGTGGCATGCCCATGCTCTTAGGGGTGATTTCTCACTTTCTCTCTC